CAAGGTCCACAAACACATGCTGCCTCTCTCTGGAGGCTCATGTGTCTTCTTGCTGCGGCGCTGATGCTAAAAYGAAACAATGCTTGCAAACGCTGGCACTCGCTTTCATTTTTCCAATTTTCTCATGCCTGGTTTTAAATTACGGAGGGGGGGGTCAGCTGGTTCTACTGGTGCTCATTGGATTAGTAAGGTGGTGAGCCTATCTTTAGGTGGTAATGAARTGGGACTAGACTCAACACCAGTGCTGTTCGGCTTCATTTCTTACATTTTAATAAAGCTAAAAGTAGATCTGTTGGGAAAACAAGACAGTTAAATTAAGGTCTTCGAGCCATCCAAAGATAATGAAATGAAAAGAGGGGGCGTCACTAAAACATCTAGCCCCCAACCCCCCTTTTCTCTGCAGGCAGAACCGGTCCTGTCATTTTGGACCTTCCAAACACGGACCATATGTGAGTTCAGTACTGGCAATCAGACTGCATTGTGGAGCAGGCGGCTGAGTTCATCAGGAAAAAATTAGCCCGCCGCTCTGAAAGCCTCGCTCCTATTGGCCAGTCACGCGGCCCGCTCTGTTTGAGGGCACCCCAGACATTCCTGCGGATAATCTTTTCCATTCCTCTGCTCAGCTCGGTGAGGACAGAGCAAATCACAGCACAAGGCCTGCATTGTGAGGGCCTGTTCAGAAAGCCCGGTTTTCAACGCCGTCCCTTTTTTTTTTTACGTTTCCCCCCCGTTCCCTTCACCTCATACGCTGCAAATCCAAAAAAAGAAAATTTAAAAGAAAATAAAAATGGAAACACATTTTTCCCATCAGGAATCACTTTTCCTTATTGTTTTATTTAAGAAATAAAAAAAAAAGTTTCTGTGGAAAAGCAAAAGTTTCTCACGGTTCCTTTCCAGTAAGAGTTTGTTTTTGAAAAGCTCAAACAATGTAAAACCGCTGAAACCGGAGCTCAGCCACATCAGTGTGCTGCCTGGAGTTCAGCAGATCGCAGCTGAAAACGGCACCCCACACACACACACACACACACACACACACCGGGCGAGGCTCGCTAGCCTTCCCAGAAACCTCCTGCTCGGTCACCGCTACACGCCTCGTGCCTCCCTCAGCAGCTTGTCATTGTGGCTGCAGCCGCGCGGCCCGATCAGTGACACTGGACGACAATCACACAATCAAGGCACGTCGGTAGATTTATAGCAACACATTCCATAATTAGAGCCACGATTATTACAGAGTCTATAAAGTTAGACTCCAGAGTGGCTTTCCACTTTCTAAACATACAGTTTAAAACTTGGCTTTTTTTTTGTTTGTTTTTTATACATACAACTGAATTACTTTAACATCTCAAGCAGCTAAAGCAACAAGAAAAGACAGCAACAATAAACCCTTTCAGCAGTTTAACTCCACCTCTAGTCTCAGTTTGGCCCCAAAAATGGCAGACACAATAATCTAATGTGACTCGGAACTTAAAGTACTACAACTACTAAAATATCCACAACACAAGTACAGGAAAAAGTTTTGACATACTTTTAGCATGATTAGGCTTCAGATCCAGATGGTCTGAATTGTTCTGGAAACACATCCACCCTCACCACAAGCTKTGACAGTAAAATATGTTGCAATCAATCAAGATAAGTCTGTAAAATACACATATGGGGGTGAGGTGGGAATAACCGTGCACCTTGTCGTGACAGAACTTGTCCGTGACAAAAAAAAGGCATTCAACTGAGAAGGAGAGGGGTTTCATTATTTTCTTCAGAGTTGATTAAACACTAAAGAATAGAAAACACTTCATATTCTGGTGAGGTGTAAAGACACTAAAATCTCGCTAAATGAAACACTCAGCAGCATGAGCATCAACCAGTGTTATTAAAGTTAACTAAAACTAAAAAATAACAAAAACTGGAAATGAAATATCATTTTAGTTAACTAAAATAAATAAAAACTGTAATAAAATGAAAAAATATATATAACTAAAACTGTATAGTCTTTTTACCAAACTAAATAAAAATAACTGAAATTATAGATAGAATATCCTTAGGTTTTGTGTTTGTTAGTTTATTTTGAACCATGTGGATCTTTTTTTTATTGAGTAGTTTCACATTAGCTGTGGGCAGCTTTCGACACCTCATGGTCTGTAACAACATTTGTTTACAGTCTGCTGCTGCTCAGCATCATCTGCTAAATGACGACAAAATCCTGACCTCACTTTGTTCGTTGACAGTTCCTCCAGAAGTGACCCAAACACTGAAACTAACCATGTTGCTGTTCCAGAAACATCTGTCCTGCTCTCTGGCCCACTTCCTCATCACTTTTCACCACAGGTTTTGCCACTGGTGCTGATGGGCATGAGGATGAGGAAATGAAGCCAAATAACTTAATTTTTGAAATTCTCTTTGCTGCACAACCAAGAGTTGGACTTCATGCAACCAGCGCTCCACCTCCCTTCACGACCCTGTGTGAGGACAAAATGTTGACCTATTTTTCTAACTTATCATCTACCC